CAACTGCAGACGCAGCATCTTTAAGAGCAGACTATGGTCTTGGTTCCTTGACCTTCGAGGGCGATACCTCCTCCTCCTCTTCAAGCGCATCTGACTTACGCTTCATTGTCATTTGGGCGGCTTCACGCAGCATGATTCTTCAGCTCCAGGATGTGATGAGTCGACATCTAGGTGCCAAACGACTCCGTCGATAGGAGCTCTTAGGAGTCATTAGCCTGTTATCCCCGGAGTACCTTTTATCCGTTGAGCGATAATCATTCCACTAAGAATTATCGGATCACTATGACCGACTTTCGTCCCTGTTGAGAGACCCTCTTTTTCGCGTTTGTCGATCTTCTTGTTCTTCTCTTCCTTAAGTGCCTTATTTGTCTTGTACGCTGTGTCCATCTACAACCTTGACTCAGTCATTATACATTCACATGGAGCAACCACATCCGACAGGTCTTGGATGAGCTGTTCTCTTTAATTGTATTCTTCCTCAGTGCAAGGACTTCACTGTGTCCTTCTTGAATGCTGCCATCAAATCATCCAGGCGCTTACGACATCCTGCAGTAGTGAGGTCGAGGCCGTGCATTTCGCGCATGTGCTCTACAAATTCTTCCCATCGTGCAAGGGTTTGTCCATAAGGAGCATCATGTGGGCATACAGTCATGACCTCCTTAAGGAGGTTTATGTCTACTTGAGTGGTAAAGCAGTACGCAGTCTTTCGCTTGCCTCCGTCGACCTCATTCATAGGATGGCTGGTCAACAAATTGAATGTATTCTATTGGCTGCCGTGTGTGGATTTCTTTACTCTGTGAGGTTGGCCTCACAGGAAATTTTCGGCACTAAATTTCCCCGTGGGATAAGATTGATTTTCCACAGGGAAAGTTCACAGGAAATATCTTGTAGCGAAATTAAGCCATTTATTTTGGCCAATACACAAACGAGGACAATCATTAACATCACGTCATTGGCTCGAAAAGTGCAAATTTGAGGTTCAAACAACCATAACAGAGGGTATTCTACTTCAGACGCAATTGAAAAAACGCGATTTATCTCGAGTGTATTTTGACTTTTGGTAGCCACTGTACATGTGTATGCAATCGAATTTCGAGATATCGGTCATAACTTGTAAAAATTGCCAAATGGTTCAATCCTTTGAGATCAATGGTAGCATTGGTTTCTATTTTGGCCGTGTTGTTTTGGTGATAAGTGCAGTTGACGAAGAATCGTGTAGCACCATATTTTATAATTAATACCCAAATCAGCAACTAAGTTGACGTGAAGCTAAATTAGCTCAGTGGTTTGAGCTCGAGGAGCAGCAGGTCCCGAGTTCGAACCCAGGTCGTGCAATGAAGTCACTGACAGCGTCGGGCAACTTTCCCAAGTTGCATTCATTCCATTGGAGTGACAAGCGCTGTGACGAGCATTACTTTTGCTGCCTTTCACTCAGGCAAGTTGTGGCCCTCTCCATGTATCCTTGACAACAGCACTCGTATGCTACGGCACTGCCATGTCATTGACGTGGAGCTCCAAATATAGGGAACACTACATGGTTGCGCAGAGTTTTCCTACGGACGTCGTTCGTGCCATCGATATGTGTTATGCTGAATTGTGATAGTACACCGTACAAAGAACTGAGAGAAAATTCGGCACCCCCCCCGAGGCTGCTCGTAAAATTCGAGTGTTTGACCCGGTGGCGTGTCGATTGCAGTTTGCTTGACGAAAAGTACTACATAATTGTCAAATTCGTGTGTCGCAACTTCAAGTGTTGGCAGGGAACTCTAGACTCCGTTAATCAAAATTCTACTCCCTCGAACGATTCTTTCGTGCCTGAGCAAAGGATGAATCAGCACTGCATGTAGTTCGAGTTGATTGTACCAGTGCCATCATCAGCTCTTGCTCGCGTTTCTGTAGTTGCTCCACCCGAACGTTCATCTGCCTTACTTGATCCAAGACATCAAAATCGCAGGGGTTCTTCTCGCGATGGTGCTGCAGTTGTATCTACAGTCATTTCGTCACGAAGTCAGCAAACGCAAAGGTGGATGTGATTCGATACCTTCAGTCGTTCGTTTTCTGCTTTTAACTTGTCCATGGCCTCGTTCGTGCGACTAAGGGCTGTGTTTCGGGTGCTCACTTCCACCGCGTTCTGCAGCGCCTCATTCTCAGCCCTGCTTTCAAGTGAGCATCCATTGGGAATTGGTCAATATCGTACATCAGGCTTTTTAGCCGATGTTCGGAGTACCCTTGATTCGCATGCAGCTGGGCGTTTTCTTGCTGCAAATAGATGAGCTGGCTCTGGTATGCAGCCATGACACCATTCAGCGACTCAAAGTCGGCGACGGTGGGTGAAGGCAAAGGCTCTTCTGGTGCATTTGGAACTCTGCCATTCAGGGGGGCGATTCGTATCGGCGGCTTCATCCCTTCCGAAGTCAGCGATGGATTCTACTCAATACGAATTGGATCATTTCTCTCGAATAATTGTAACATACCCGAAGCATGTCTGTGGGCGGGACGGCCCCACATTTTCCGACGCTTTGCAGCTGCTGCTTCAAATACGCATTCTCCGTTCGAAGTACTTGATTCTAGAACAACACGTCAAGATCATGACGAGGCAGTGACCGAACCGACCTCTTTCCTTAGCCCCAAAATCAAGCTCTCTTTCGGGTCCATTTGCAGCGTCGGTTTGTTTTGAATATTTTTGGCCCTCGTGGCGTAGTTCAACGTGCTTAACGTGTCTTCCATCACGACCGGTGACGGCGATACACATGCGATCATAAGGGTGAGGCTGCTGCCGCCAAGCGAGTCCATGAGCAACTTGGTCAGTTTGCTGTCTCGGTATGGTACGAACGCCTGCATGTCTACATCGAACAGTCAGCGCTGAACGGCCTTGAAGACAAGAAAACTTGCTGGATTTCGTGCCAAGTGCTGCGATCACTTTGCCGAGGGTAAGCAGGCTCTTGTTGATGCTGCTGGTTTCCTCGGCGTTGGCCGACTTAGTGTCGCGCAGTCGTTCGCTTCCTGCGAGGTCCACGAACGACATCTTCCCGTACTTGACGACCGAATGGCCGTCGTTCGGGTCGAGGACTTCTTGATCCAGCGTAATAGTCAAGATGCTGTGACTGCGACTCGAGTCTTTGTTCATTTCATGGCTCCCCACTCTAGCGCCTCCATTAAAGTCCTGGCTCGCGCCACACACGTACCGGCGATTTCGATGGCCTTCGTCGACAACCGCCATGACATCCTCCATCGAGTCGCATTGCACAACAAGCAGATTCTACGATATCTTAAGCCACGACAGAACTCCAATCACGAACGAACTTGGACATAAAAGCCATTGCGCTCATTCCACCGGACATTTAGCGCCCCCGACGCTGCATTCAGGAGATCGTACGCCTGGCAAGGCATCAGCGGAGGCGGCACAAGAGATGATTTGACCTGTTCGTTGTAAATTTCGCAGTACGACGCTTTCATCGAGAACGACGTGTCGGGAGCCTTGTTGGCCATCGACTGGAACAAATAGCGGATGGAGCGAGGAATGAGCCCATCGGACGGGTCGTCCACGTCATGGCCAACGGGGCGCTCCCTCGACAGCCCGAGCTTTTCTTCCAGTCCCGACATACTACCAGCAGGAACTCGTCAATGTACCATTCTAGCAAGCACCAAACAACCTGTACGTTTTGCCAGAACCTGTTTGGCCATACGCGAACACGGTGGCCAAGTACCCCTCCAGCGCCGAGTCGAGCAAGGTCGTGATCCCGCTGAGATTGAAAAACTCTTCCTGGCTCACGTCTTCCGACGCACACAAGTCGAATTGAAAGTTCCGGACGAGCTCTCGCCCACCCGCGCCGGCCGACACAACTTGCATCTCAGAGCGGTTGTTGGACATAAACCGGAACATCGACGTGTCCCCTCGACTGGCTTCACTGGTGTTTAATGGTCGTGCCCGAAGAGCCACGCGGACGCTGCACATGTGTGTTTGACCAACGAGCTGTGTGTGGTTGCGCTAGGTTCACATTCGTACCTGCTGTCACCTTTGCTTCGAGACGTAGCGTCGGTCGCTGCAGAGGACTTGGGCGTCCGCGCGCGTCGCGCTAAAACGGTGGTAACGTTATGGATCGCATGATGTGGAAGCTCAGTCGCGTCGTACATGATGTGTTATCCTTTCGTACTCCATTTCCCGGCGGCTGGGGCCCACTGCCGGTGCGAGAAGGAAACATGTTTGCGATGCCCGTTACACTCGGCTAATGGCAGTTTCCAATGCATGTCAGCGGCAGCATGAACAAAATGCACTTTTCCTTGTCTCCAGTGAATATGCCATACATAGGAGATACCGCGAAGCATCATGTATTCGTGGCGACCGCGGAGAACACCGCCGCCAGCATGTCTTTATGTTCAGCGTGGAAATAGATCTCCGTTTACCCGTAATAATACATATCAACTATATCCATTTATACAGTATTCTGCATGGGATTGGCTCATTTAGACCAATCACTGGTGGTGATTTCGTCCATCATCATCATAACAACGTTCAAATATTTGAACCCGAGGCGCCCGGCAAGACAGACGCGGTGGCGGCGGCAACGATCAAGTATGCACGCTATGGTACGTGTCGAGACGACGAGGAAGGGAGATCAAGGGGAATGTGTAGTTAAGCTGGAGCTCTAAGAACTGCATGGCTCTGGATCCATTTGCGAGTCGCCTGGCGATCGGAGACGAAGAATGGCGTGAAAAAATTCTTGTTCTGGAGGAACTCCAGACTTTCGCTAAAGCGAATGCCGTGAGCCTCACGTCCGAGCACCTGAATGCACTCGTTGTCCCATTTCGAACGATGGTAGGGATGCTTCTTCGACGCGAACGCTTCTTCACCATGCCAACAAATAGTTTTGCGAATTGAGGTCCACCGTCGTGAAGAAGGCGACCGAAGTCTTCAGTGAACTTGCACAGCTCCTGCGTCAAAAGGCAAAGAACCTCGTGGATAAGGTCTTTCAGGCATTGATGGAAGCCCGAGGCGGGTCCAACAAGGCATGCCCCGCCGACATTGACGTGGATTAACATGTTAGCGCAGGTCAATACGCAAGCCATTCATACCTGCATCGAGACCGTTCTTCAAGTCGTAGTGAGCAAAAGCGCGCTGACGTCGATGTTTTACGCATTCAAACACACCAAGTACGGGAATATGCTTGTGCATAGTCGATATGACATGTTACGAACCAGGAACGGCCAAATTCGAGATTCGTGCATGCAGTACTTGTGGATTGTCCTGACCAACTGGACCCCAGCTGTGCTAGAAACACTCAAGCCTCGCATTCAAGAGTGCATTTTGGTCAGTTTATCTAGCGTATGAGGTCCCTTTCAAGTTTTTTTGATGTACAGATTGCCTTGAGCGATGCGTCCCCACTCTGCCGTGAAGTCGGACGATCATGTTACGGGTGCGTGTACCCACGACTCATTTTAAATTGGAGATTTGATGTGCATATTAGCCTCTTCATTCGCCTCTGGCCGGAAAAGAAGGCCGAGTTGCAAGCAAAACTTTCGCCCACCGCCACAAAGTACCTCGCAGCGTTGAATTTTGCCGACAACGCCCTGGAAACGGAATCCGTACGTTCCATTGTGTATACTGTGGGCAGCTGAATGTTCCTTTCGGTAGCAAGTTCCAAGGCGCAAAGCTCTCCACGACATCTCCAACACCATGGACAATGTAGTCGTCGTGAAGAAGCGGGCAAGTACATCCAGGCATCGGTGCCGTAACGATTTTGACGAACATGCGCAAGTAGAAGGATTGCACTGGACGACCGATGGATATTCCCAACGACTGCGCGAGTGATAACACGAGTGCGTTGAAAACCGAAGTAGCTGCTCTAGAAAAGGCTTGGCACGACTCGAAGCAAGTGATCGCCCACCTAAATTCCGAAAACGAATCCTTGAAAGCAGACCGCGAGTCATCGCAGCTTCAAGTGCGGTCGCTTCAAACTCAAGTAAACATGTTGGAGACCCTCGTCAAAGACTCCGACAGTAGTCACGAACGCCAGGCCATTGAATCTACAGCCACGATCCAGACATTGGATGAAGAGAACCGCCGGCTACAGCACCTCTTGACGTCAGCTACGAAGCAAGTGTCGCAATTGTCCAACCAACTACGAGCCGCACTTGCGTCACCAAATTCCATCGAATCAACGGCCCGACGTCGAAGGCTGCGAGCGTATTCGGTTGATGCAGCAAGTTTCCAACGACCAGGAACTGCGGGATCCAAATCCCCGACAGACGCAACTGTAATGCCTTGCCAGACCAGCGCCCCCGTCAAGAAATCGTCGTCCGATGATCTCCAAAAGTTGGACAATGAAACCACAATGATATACCAAGATATGGCTGCCATGTCTGCAGCAGTGGAAAACGTCCGCATGGAGAAGGCACAACTACAAGAACAAGTGGACTCCCTTCTCAAACAAATTGAATCTCTTGAACGGGCCTTGCAAGATGTTGAAAACGACAACGCGATCGAGCAAACAAAACATCTCAACATGGAAGCAGAGTTCGTCGACACGATCCACGACCTTGAACACCAGCTGAAAACCGCAACTTGTCAAAACAAGTCGTTGACGGAGTTGCTCGACGCATCTACGTCCAAGGAAGCGCTTATGAACGATCGCGTCAACGCCACGGTGGAGGAGCTGCAAAACCAGGTCGCAAAGCTGACAAAACAAAAGTTGGATCTTGAGACGGACCGGCAAAACGTGCTGGAGGAAATCCACCGTATTCAAGCTGACTTCAGTGCCAAGCTCACACGAAAGGAAGTGTCGTTGGATCGCTTGAAGAGTGAAAACCACATGCTCCAGATCAAGGCAGAATCGTTGCAAAAGAGGAATGAAGAGCTCCAAAGTATCGTAAAGATCACGGAAGATGCGTACTACCAGATCAAGGAAGATGTGTCGTCGCAGTCTCTCGAGGAAGTGGAGACAATGGCAGGCGTCAAGGCCGAGAACGAAAGCCTGCAGCTCCGTATTCAAAACCTCTTGAAGCAACTTGACGATGCAGAAGCAAGCCATGAACATCTCCGAGCGCTTGCTACGGAAGCCCGCAATGCGTTCAACGAAGCCGAGACTGAGATCGAGCACTTGAAGACCAAGCTGCAATCCGAAGTATGTCCGAGCAACACCGTCATGCATCGCGCAGACGTAGCCGAAGACGCATTGTCCAAATCGCGTCAGGACCTGTCGTCCCAATTGCTGTCCAAGGACGAGGATTTGATGAAGCTGGCGCATGAGAACCAGTCGTTGCAACAAAAGGTCGACGAGTTGTTGCAAGAAATCGATGAGCTGAAGAGCTGCATTAAGTTCACGGAGGATGCGTACTACCAAATCCAAGAGGATGTGTCCTCCCAAGCGCTCGATGCTGTTGCCAGTGTAACGCCGGTGAAGGCCGAGAACGAGTCGCTGCAGTCTCGTGTAAACGACCTACTCGAAGAGCTCGACGAACGCGACCGAGACAACGAGCACCTGCGACGTCAAATCCAAACTCTGAAAACGTCGTCCGTCCACGAAATCTCCCAAGTGAAAGGCCAACTTCTGGCACTGGAACAGGAGCTGCATGATGTTGAAACGCAGCTGCACGATGCGATGGAGGAAAACCACCAACTGCGTAGCGACATGTGTAATCAATCCATATTGGACGCAGAAGCAGCGAAGAAAAGTCATGATGACCAGCATGTGCTACAGACCCAAGTGCAGTCGCTGCAAAAACAAATCACTGAGCTTGAAGCACTCGTGGCAGCTTCTCGCGAGTCGAACCAGAAGCTCCAAACTGACGTGGGCGAACTGTCCCGACTCAAGTTGGAAAACGACAAACTTTGCATTGAAGTCGACGCGCTTGTGGATCAAATCAACGTATTCAAGTCTACTCAACACGCTGCTGCGCATAGCTCGACGATGCAGTTGAAGGAGGAACTCATGATTTTGTCAGCAAAGGCAGCAGAGGCGCAATCGGATCTCAAGCGCGTGTTGTCCCAAGAACAGGCTTACCAAACAACAATTCGTGACCTGGAGTTGCGAGTGCAGTCATTGCAGAGCGAGCATGCTCAACTGCAAGCTGAACTGGCCACGCAAATGTCAAAGCAGGTCGACGAGCGAGCAAAGCTCAAGTTTGAGAACCAGTGCCTCCAGGCGCGGGTAGACTCTCTCCAGCGCCAGCTCGAAGACGCTGACAGCAATCGTGGATTGTGCGATATGGATATCTCCATGCAAGACGAGTTTGCGATTGACCTAACCCAGCGAGAGATGGAGTCACCATCGAATCCACTCAAGCCCAGAGGTGCGGAAGCTAGGATTTCGCCTGACGTCGAGGAAACCAAGACTGCCTTTCAGTTCACCAAGACAGCAGCATCATTCGGCATAGGAGCATCGAGGTGGAACCAGGACGTGTCTGCATTTCGCGACAAGGGCAATTTGAAAGCTCAGCGACAGCTTAATGGTACGTTTGCCGTCCCCTTTTTCTCCTCGTGCCTGACATGGTGATGGCGTAGATATGAATATTCTCAAGCGGTGGAAACCCAACTCGTAAAGAAATCATCGTTTCTTTCGTCACTGCATTTTCGATTCAGCAAATCGTGCAATGGCTGCAACTGCATCGTGGGAGGGCTTTCCCAGTGGAAGCATTACAAAATCGTGGTACAGATGCGGATGCACATACTCGGTCAAGTCCAAATGAGTGTGCTTCGCCTTGGCACAAAAGGCCGAAATGTCATTCGCCATGAGCTCTGTTTGTCCGTACATGACCTACAGCATCACCCGACTCGGCATTTCATTGTGAACAGTTTTATTGTACCAGCAAAGGGGGCAAGCCCTCGAGGGGCTGCAGGCCTGGGGAAGCCTCGATCATTTTGGTCAAGTCGTTGCCCAGATAAAGATTGCGCCACGCAACGATGGTGTTCCTGCAAAGGGCTCGGCATCCGTGATCGGGTTAAGAGTACACGACATACTTGGTAAAGATGTCTGTCTTGACATCGTACGAAGGAGTTGAGACGGACAAGTCGACCCACGGCGAAATGAGGACTCCGCACGCTGGCATCGCAACGTTTTGTTGTCGACCTCGTTGCAACAGCGACAGAACTGCGTTGCCGCCTGCAGAGTCCCCCATCAAGAGGATGTTGGTCGAGGCAACTCCTTGGTCGAGAAGCCACAAATACGCCTGCACTCGAACCTGGTCATGCATCGCCATGGCTGCAATCGAAGTTCCGTACGTCCAAGGCTTGGTTGATGGCGCGAGGATAGGGATGTTCCGGTGCCAGGTCGTACTCGACACTGAACAACCGGACAGCTCGCAACGAGTTTTGCAGACGGCCGAGCAATGGCTGAAAGAGCCCCGTGGACATGCAGTCCGCCGTGCCCGAAAGAAACCTGTCCCGACATCAGCCACAGCGCATGAACATATACTTGCGTACCCTCCGCCATGGACAAACAAGATGACCACAGCATCGCAAAGGGGGGTTGTCGCGTCGCCGTACCACAGGCCTGTGTATTTTTGAGCGTATACTCTTCACATAGCGGCAGCGGTACCTTTCACAGTCGGCGAATCTACTACAGCTGCAGGCCTGCCATACACGTCCCATCAGTGGAGTTGCTGTGGACGCTGCATACCAATAAACAAGTCTCTGTAGCCGTCCAAACCATGCAAAGCCAAAGCGAACGACCGCGATGTCCAAGGGCGTCATGCAGCTCAGGATTCGCTGGCACAGCGCATCCATGTAGCTCCACTCGGCATGAGGTCGAACAAAGAGCACGACCAGTGGCGCCACGATGCAGGATGCCACCGCGACCGCGACTTTCGCAAACGCCACCGTCATCGCAGGTCAATTTTGTGAAATGTCGCACGAATTGAAAAACGGCCAATTATTATGGAAAAATTAACATCACCCATGATAACCAAAAGTACGTACGAAATGACGAAAACGCACTCGGAGAGCGCCGTTGCATCACCCAGGAGCGCACCTTCGCATCCAGTATCACGTCGGAAAGCAAACGATGCACCCCCCACAAGACGGGTTGGACGCTCTCCTTTGCACATGTGCCGCTTGCCAGGTGGACGTCGATCACGCAGCAAGGGGTGCTGAAGTCGTGGCGAGCATGTGGTGCAACCACCGTAGACGGTTGGTGGCACGTTGCCACGGCGTGAACGATCAAAGTCCTGAGCGCGACTACAACCACACAGCGCGCTTTGTCCTGGGTCGCAGGCTACTGTTCTTGTACGACGCTATTGAGGCAAGGGTACTGTGGCGCAGACGCCAATTCCTTTGTTAAATTATTACCATGCCAACTCGAGGCCCTTCGCGCACACCATGTCGAAGTGGAGCTGGACGTTGTCGTCGTCGATCCCGCAGAACGCGCCCAGCCTTCGGTGGCGGTGGCACAGCCCTGCTTTTCGAGAGTGCCTCGAGCATCCAGGGAAGAAGCACTTACTCCCGCCACCATGCTTGACGCAAAGGTGCTTCGCATGTGCTTGTTTGTTGCACTCAGACACTTGACAGAGCTGACGACTCGACACTCCGCCGTGACGAAGGCAGTAGTCGCCGCCCTTTGCTGGCAAGACGCACGAGTCGTGGGCACATCGAGGTCGACCTCCGTGCTTGGAACACCTGCCTCTCGCAACGACCTGATTGTAGCAGTCCGTCACGGCGCACTGCTTCTTGTCCTTGTGGAAGTCGCACTTGGTCGCGCCGGCGGGCACGAGCCGCAGGCAATCGTTGAACACGCACGAAGCAAAGAGTCCTTTTTGCTGCATGGAATGCGTGCCGGTGTCAATTCGGTATTGGCAGCCGATCTCTGCCCAACCTCGTACACGCATCCCACGCCATCCGCTCCAGCGACGCCTTGGGATTATTCTGCCATGTGGATTCTCTCAAACTGAATTGCGTGACGATCGCTTTCAGTTCGGCCAATACACACCGCATCAAAAGTCCCTCTATCATATAATATCGCACTTAGGAAGACAATTCACGGTTCATCAGCGGAACGTGTTGGATGCGTAATTTCACCGCAGGAACACCATGTCAAAGGCTCAAATGATGGGTGTGCACCAACTCCATCCCAACAAGGCGTTGAGTGCGTCGCAAGTGGCAGACATAGCCTAGTCAAGAACTGAAACCCCGGGAACGGCATTGCGTACGAGTGGGCTGACTTCGCCGTAAGGGGTCCATCCAGGTCACAGGTGAGATTATAAAAAAAGTTTATATGGAACGGACACTGTATGCGCGCGCGTGTCAATCATCCAAATGGATCCGGCCAAAGTCGACACCCAGTCCGTCCGCATCACATAAAAACTCGTTCCGCGGAGCGCGCCTCGAGCGCGTCTAGGTGGACCCATCCACGATATGGGTGGAATCGACGACTCAATGTACCGCGCGGCTCGAGCACATCCACGTCACATAGCAGCCTCTCGATCCCGTGCAGCTTTCGATGCAAGTGGAGCGTGGGATATTGAACTTGACAAGTGCGCGCGCGTCCAGTGCGATGTATTTGGTACCCAGAGATGTCAACCGTACACCGCTTTGAAGCTGCAACGTGTCCGAAAACATCTCGTCCTTCACGACATACCGTCGGTAAACGTCCAACCACGCACTCCCAGTGCGTGCACTTGCACGTACACCAACCCGCGCCAAGTGGCGGCGGCGGCGATGTCGCGCAGGCCATGGACGCCGCTAGGGCAAAGCACAGACACATTTTTCATTCTACGATCCTCATTGCGTCCAGATATCAGCGCCTTCCTCGGCGTCGGCATTCCACATGAACGAGTTGCTTCCCCACTTGACGCCCTGCATGGGCGGGCAGCCCCCGTGCTTGGACATGGCATCGATGTCTTGATCCGGCGTTTGGACGTAAAACAGCGACGCGTGAAGTTTCGTCGGCGGCACGGCAAGACCTTCCGAGCACTCGTCCATCCCGGTACGATCGATTCCCGTCACCAACCGGTCCTTCGAGTGGGGGAAGACGGTCTCGCCGCCTTCTTCCACGTCGTTCAAGTACAAAAACAACGTGACAAACCGATTCGGTTCAAAATGCTTGACGAACGCAGGCATGTTGTAGTGCAGCGCCGTTCCAGCGCCAACGCGGTTCTCCCACGCCCGGATGGCGACCTCGGTCATGTGGGGAAACGTGGCAAAGATCTTGATCATGGTGTCCCTCGCGTTTCGATTCGTGATGAGCCAGTCGACCCAGTCGTTGTTCATTTGGTGGACCAGGTACTCGCGGGACAGATCGTCTTGGACGATCCCCGCCAGCTCTGTGAGAAACCTCCACGAGTACTTTGGATAATACTTGGCCCATGGCTGCGCGAGGGCCGGTGTGGCGTCACCACCAAGGGCACTGATCGATTCCTTTGCCCATCGGACCCACTGGTAGAAATGCGACACGCCGTTGATGCGCACGCGCTTGGGGAACGTGTATCGAAGCGCTGGGAGGTTGCCGAGCTTGGCTTCCCACACTTGAATCATTTTGTCCAAGTAGTGCGGCTTCCCCTTGTCTTTGAGTATTGCGTGAAGAACTCCCGATGACTTGTTTGCGACCCTCCCTTCCATCCACGTGACCCACTCCGAGTCGTACCGGGCGGCGAAGTAGTTTTCGGCCGTCCCCTCTTTCACGAACAAGTCTACCAGCGCCAGAGCGAACCCCGTGTCGTCGTCAGCATCAGGGTACAATGCGTCGCCGATGTTAAACCCTGCCGGAATCGAGTCGAGAGTCGCGAGCTGCGTCTGGGCCCATGTCACCCACGCCTTGAAGTCGTCCAGGTTCCGGTTGTAGTAGCCCTTTGGTAAGTATTCGACGCTCTCGAACGTGTCCAGGTGCCGGCGGTAGAACTCGCCCGCCTCGTACCGGACAAGTTGCAATCCTTCAGCGTACGCAGGACTCGGAAGTCGAGCTAGGGATGTCGACCGCTTCTGGAAGTCCCGAGTGAGTGGGCTCGGGGTCAGGAATGCCGTGTGGCTCGTTCGGCTCGACGTCACAGAGCTCGTCGTATTGCCGTTCACTTTCGATCGTGTCAGCTTCGATTCCGCCGCCTGGATGATCGCCAACGCCTCCGACTCGTTGAAGAATTCGCGCACGGAAAACACCAGAGGAGATATTCCAACGGTCTTTAGGATGACACGACCGTCGACAACGCGCTCGTGGCCGAGCTCGATGGCTGGCCACACCCACAGCTGGTACTCGAGCAGGATGTGCGCAATGCGGGACGACGGAAACGCAGACGGAGACGGGATCGAGAAGCCATCCGTGGAGAAGAGCCGGAGTCCGTACGCAAGACGGTCGCGATCGGCGCCGAGAGCAAGGGCCGCGGTCTTGGCGGCGGCGTGCAAACAATCGGCGTCCCCTTTCCACGTGACGTAGATTCCATGGCTTTGCCCATTAAGCAGGAAGAACACTCGGTTGTCGATCGCGAGCGGGGTCGCCGGGAACATGGCGTCCTTGATGTGCACGAGGGGGCTGAGGATCGACACAGGGAGGTCCGGACACGTTGGCGTGGGGTCGAGGAAGTGCTGCCCGCCGACGTGGACGATGTCGGTTTCGTACTTGGGAAATACTTTGCCATCTGCATCCAGGGCGACTCCATCTTTCAGCACTCGCTGCAGTGGCGGCGGCGCAACTTGGGGACCAGCAAGCGGCGATGGAGTCCCGTGGCCAAGATACCCCAACGCGTAGCCGCATGCCAATAGCGACAACCCCACGAACGAACGCGAGAGATGCCAGTACGCGGTCTGTTTCGGCAGCTTGTTCGATGTCGAGTGCTTGGGACTCGGTTCCTCGGTCGGCTCGGACGGATCCACGGTTGTCGTGGGACGCTGGCTCGTGTCGACCTGCTTGCGTCCCATGGCGGTCGAATTTGAAACTTGCCGCAAATCGCACACTTGATGTATGTATACACATCACCACGTGTCTTTGTTCCCACCACGCGGTTTCATCGTGTGGAAATGATTGTCGCATGGGAGAGGCTCGCGCAGACGGCGACGGAGATCCGAGGAAGGCGTGAAGGTACGACAAGAACTCACTAGCGTGCGGGAGGGACATGCTTCGTTCATCGGGTGGTGGAGCGGTGGAGTCAACCAGCACGATCTGGGGCACGATTCCCCCAAAAGATGACAACATTGGCAAACACCGCGCTACGTAGAGTTTGATGGGACACGTCAAGTGTTTCCCATCTTCTTGGCGCACGCGTCCCAACCGTAGAATTGGATCGCACGTCGCAACCGTAGAATTGGATCGCACCCGCGTCCCAACCGTAGAATTGGATCGCACGGTTGGACGCCTACATATTGGCTTGTGGGATGCCCAGAGGAGACGCACAGCTTTTGCATAGTTCTAGCGGCATTGCAAGAAAGCGGTGTGGCGGAATCGCGCACAAGGCAGAGGAATCCAGCAACCAAACCAACGTCGCGGCCATCATGATGTGTCGATCGCTGAGATGGGCCAAGTTGTGTCCCATTGCATTACGTAAAAAGGGGCTCAACGGAATACTACTACAGTAGTAAAATGTTTGACAATTTTTGGTAATAAATGAATCTCATGTTGTAGAGATTCCTTTCACGAGTGCTGGATCTAGCGATGGTACTACTGGGTGGACGAACCCTGGCTCAACAAAGATACATGCAGGAACAGACCAAGCTGCGATGTCGAGCGCTGCAAGTTCCCTTGCGTCGTGAATGTGCCCTTCACCTATCTAAATGTTCTATTTGAGTTTTAGTAAGAGTGTTCTAGTATCCTACTAGTACATCGAAGTAAATTTTCAGATATTCTTTATTGATTTTCTATGTTTCATTGTTTTGATGTCTTAAAGCAGCATTTGTGACTTCTCACGAAGATTGGTAAGGCTTTGCGCACGACGGCGAGTGGAGCGTCGCAAGGACCTTCTCCACACCGAGTCCCGGTTTGCATGAACACGCACGTTGCGCCTATCAATGAGGCACGTGCAAGCACTTGACAAACTCCGAGTACGCGAGTTTCCCGTCGCCGTTCGTGTCGAATTTGTGGAGGAGTTCTCTCGCTTGCCCATTGTCGATGTCGGCCATGTCGAGCGTATCCTGGACGAGCCGCACGAATTCCGGCAGCTCTATGTACCCGGACCCGTCCCTATCTGCAGCTTTGAAGGCGTCTTTCATGCTCGTGAAGAGCCCAAACACTTGTCGGTGAATCTTCTTCTGCATCCATATCACGTCGGCATTGGCCATGGGCGACGAGTGTTGTCGGATCGGGCGGTCGTCTTCGTTCAGGCCGTGGGGTCGATACGCCGTCCCAGCCGTCGTCAGGCGGAAGTAGTTGCCGCTCTCTTCGTCCTCACCCGACCCTGGAATGTACTGGAGCTGGTCTGTCATAACGTTCACGAACTCCAGATACCCCATGCCACGGTCGATCTCGCCGGCAGCTTCTTTGTGGGGATACGATTGCTGGAGCAATTCCGCTTCATCATCCGTCATGTGCAGGCCCATATTGGCCATACATGTTCGGAATTCGTCCTCGCTGATGTATCCCGACCTGTCAACGTCCATCTTGAGAAACGAAGCGCGCAGGGAATCGTAGCGAGCGAAGAGCTTGGTCCGAATCGCGTCCAGGAGGTCTTGCGCCGCGCGGCTCTTCTCGTACACGATCGCACCATCGTCGAAAGTAGTGGACCCAGTAGTGGACTGACTCCACACAGCTCGTCCTTCGGCGCTTTCGTCGGAAGACTTTGAGTCGGGATCTGTCGACGCATCGGTTATTGACGGACGCCGGTGATGCGGATTCGTGGCTGGCGATGCGCGGGCCGAGTTCACTCGGCCCATGGACCGCACTAGACGACTCTCGTCGGATGACTTTGGATCCAGTGAGTCGAACGAACCATCGTCCTCGCATTCAATCGTCGCAGGAGTCGAGTGTGCGTGGACGAGGCGGCTTGGTCCTTTGTTCTCCGTACCTTGGGACCACAGCGCCCGTCCTTCGGCGCTTTCACCGGCAGCTGCTGAATCGTGGCGACGTCCTTTCGGAGAATCTGGATCTGTAGCCGACATGGACCGGTGCATGGGGACCCCTCGCGACGCCTTGTTTGTTGGCGACGAACTGTCCGGCTGTGGGTCCAGTTGCGCCAAGAGCAGTCGTAGCCGCACGATCTCTTGCTTCGCAGACACCCAGTCGCCATCTTGAATGTCGGATGCGTCCACAGGACGCTGCTTCTCCTCGCGAAGCACCGCGCTCGACGCCCCGGCCCCCATGACCACCTTGTGACGACCTATTTATATCGCAACGAGGATGCCGATGCTCGTTGCACACCGCATTCCGTGCCCACATCTCCTCAATCTAGGTGCAGCACACCAGCTCGATGGAGACATGAGAAAGCCCCCGTCACGATTCCCGTTTACAGCACCAACCGCAGCAATCCGCCGGTAGCCGTCGTCGTTCGGCGCGGCATGACGCTATCGTGGTAGGCTACCTCATGGCTCGGACGAGGAAGGATGCGGCAGCGACTGGACGACAGCATCTTTCGACGTGGCATGGCTGTACTACACACCAGTACTTCTATGAGAGTTGCAAGTCCAGCCAGCGCACGTTGCGAATTTGGCAAGAACTGAACGAGAACGTCATGGATTAGTTCAAGGCCGAACGAAATGACGACGCTAGACGAGTTTTCGGCGCTTCCACCGACCGGTGAAGTCGTCGGCGAGACTAAGCAAGACAGGGAGGAGAACCATGCCGTGGACGAGTCCACTGAGGACTATCGTGAGGTACATGCAGAAGTAGTACTTTTGAAACACACGCGAGTCGCACAGGGTCAGCGCACTCAACCCAACGATCTTGGTGATCGTGATTCCAAACACGACCGACAGCATGACGTGGTGCAATGCGTCCTTGGCGCGACTGTTGCCCGACGTACTCGTGGGCTTGGCAAAGTAGAACGATCGGGCCAAGTGGGAGCAAAACTCGACCGAGATTCCAGCCGCAATGATCAAATTGACCACAGACAGCCCGTTCAAGAGGATGCCGAACGGTTGCATGAGCCCGACCTACCAAATCATGTCAGCACCATGGGCTACATCGGCAAGAGCGCCCCCACCACTGTGACGCAAACGTTTGCGATGACGGCCGTGACCACGAGCGGCACGACAAACGACCCAAAGTACACCACATGCAGCACAAAAATCGCAGCAAGGGCCAGCCCCACGAGCAAAAACGTGTCGTTCACAATGGTGAGGTACTGGTCGAAGAAGCAAAAGAAAATCGAGTACACCCACACGTGGACGCCAGTCGTCTGGGACATGTACTCGGCCGCTTTTCTCGCTTGCTTGTACGTGGCAATGTAGTCGCGCTGCGTCGGATTGGCGTTCGAAATGGCCATGTACGACACAGCTGTGACGGCAGACGACTTGCCCGTCGACGAATGGAGCGCCAGGTCGGTCGATGCCACCGGGATTGGGTTGTTGTCGATGCTGAATTGACCGCGGTAGATGGAACCACCTCCGTGCGAGCACAGCGGACCGGCATTTGCGCTGGCAAAGATGCGAAATAAATCCATAAAGTTTTCCTTGGGAATGGGCGGTGTCGACATCGTTGCTGGCAAGCAGGACGGACTCGCTTTTCGCACTGCCATGTACGACGCATTCGCGGCATTCAGAGGTAGATACGTCTTGGTCGCGGCGTCCACGCGGCAGCACTCTGTCTGGGCGCTCGCAAACGGCCAAAAGTCGTCGAGCCACGAATAGTACACGCCAGGAGCCATGCGGGTGAGATTCGATCGGCCTCCGTTGCCAAGGGCTTCGACGATGTTCGGAATCGACTGCGCGGCACAGAATGCTTTGGATTTGCAAAAGAGCTGCGTTGTTGTGGTGTCGGAGAAGTCGAACGACTTGGGATTGGACTTGTACCCAGCCTCGACAATGTAAAAGATGGGTGGCCCGGTCTCGAGTGTGGCATCGATCGCGTCAAAGTACGACACCATGTACGACTTGGAAGGCATCGCGTCCTTGTTATTCAGCCCTTGTTCCAACCACTGCGCGGACCGGATGGACAGAAGCGTCCACGTGAAGAAGATGGTCACGACCGCGAGTTTTACGGGCCACTGGACGAGCAGCGACGCGTACGCTTCCACAGCTCGTTCTGCTAACGACTTATGTACAACCTTGGAGGGCGACGGGGGGTCCACAGGGGTTAGAATCGGCGCTGGGGTGGCTTCCAGAGGGACTTGCAACTCGGACGTCGCAGATCGAGACATATTGGTGCGCCGAATTGTCGACTTGGACGCATCTCTGCGCTTGTCCAACGCCAAGAGCGCGAGGAACATGGTCATTTGAACGACTAGATTGACGAAGACAGCGGCGGCGGAAAACGCGGCGAACCAGAGCACCGCCGGCATTGGACTGATGCATCCAAACAAGAACGCCGCCGACTCTGTGATGCTGGCGAGTACGATGCTCGGACCGATCCTGCCGACAGCGTTGGCCAAGACGACGTCGACGGCCAGTGGCGACCCCTCCGTCCTCTCGGCTGTTTCAACGACGTGGACTTGATGCACGAGAAGAAAAATATTGTCGACGCCGATCGCGAGTGTCAGGAACGGCACGACTTCCATGATCACAATCTGAACATGCACACCAAACCACGAAAAGAGACCGATCGTCGAGACGACGCTGACGAGAATGAGAAGAATGCCCAAGAATCCGACGAGGAGCTTGGCATGGGTAAACGAGTGGCGCAGGTCGCGCCAGTTCCACCGGTTGATGCCGAGCGTGACGTAGATGATCATGAGCACGTACGAGAGCGCGGCGGGGGTGACGTCCCCTTTGGACGCGACCGCGATTTCGTCTGCGATCGACACTTCCGCCATAAAATCGATCGTGAAGACTGCATTCTCCCGGGCTTCAACCTGGAGGAAGTCAATGTACCGCCGCTCCCACGCCTTGGCCTTGGCGTTCTGCGCTTCGTCGTAGTAGTTGTACGCCAGGATCGTGCTCAACATGGCTTTGCTCTCTTGGAACAGCGCCACGTTGTCCCGAGCGTTGGGCGGAAACTGGCCGAGGACGGTCGTGTACATGTCCATGGGCGCGCCATACGACGACAAGCATGGGCAATCTAGGGAGAGCAGCGTCACGCATGGCCAAACGAATGAAATCAGTACCGCTCATAGTCGGAGGGAGCACGACGTTCTTGGCGGCAAGCTTCTGGCACGTCTGGACGTCAGCGTACGACGGCGAGAACAAGCAGTTTGCAAAGTGCACGAGCGCCAGGTTGTGCTGATCGTACACGTCGTAGTGCGTCACGTTGTTTTGAAAGTACTGAGTGATCGAGTTGATCGTGCACGCTGTTCCTGTTGCCCGCCAGCAAATGTCTTCGAGCCGGACGTCTAGTTGACTGACGAATCAAGGCACGCGAAGGACACGCAGATGCACGCACCTGCGCCGTCGACGGTCGCCTGCAGTGCCGCCACTTTGGCTTGAAGTGCAAGCGCTTCCTTGAGAACTGGGCCGCGAGCAATGGTCCCGCCGTCTTTCGGCCGCAAGATCATCTGCGACGTCCGGTAAAACGGCATGAAGAGCTGGCCGAATCGATCGCGCTCCTTGAACGCTGTGCTGGATTCGGCGACCCACAGTTTAATTGGGTCTACTTCGATCACGGCGCGATGTAGTCCGGCCATCGCGAACACCGCCATGACCGTCATGACCATGAGGATACGCGCTGGATGGCGCGCTACGAAAGACCCCCACGACGCCATCGCTCGACTCGCCACCGTCTCGACGTAGCTTGTGTTTGATATCGGCGCCTCCACAGTCGATGTCTCGTCCTCCATGCTGGCCGTCTTCGACTCGGTGCGAGTCAAAAATGCCAACACTGCACACACCAACACCCACAGCCCGACACACCCCACGACACTGGCGACGTTGACTGCATTATGGTCCGTCGGGGCTTCCTCCATGAAGTCAAACAAAGGCTGCCACGTCGAGTCCACGTCTCCAGTCGAGGCATTGGAACTGCCGCTCGTGACCGCATTGTTGCAGCCTGAAAGAGCAAGTCAGTAGCACAAATGACAACAGAAAGCGAATTGCGGTACCTGGGGTGTATCCCAGCGGGGTGGGGGCCGCCGCACACACACTGCCGCAAACGCCAGCGCACGTAGGCAGCTTCGCATCCAACGGCAAGATGCAGCTCGCATTGGAGGAAGCTCCGTCACACGAGCACTTTTCGTTCTAGACCCAAATTGTCAGAGAAATCGCAAAGTTGACATAGCCGACCTTGGCCATCGCGGATGCTGGGACAAAGTTGACTTGGTTGGGCGACCCAATCCCGTTGAACTGGTACTCGCCCATCTTCTTGAGCAACCCGAGGCCAGAATTGCACCCTGCTTGAGGGGAGCACAACACTTTTGCGATCAAGTCGCCCTTGGAGTACTCGTAGATGTCGCGGGCGAAGTCATCACCGACGTAGTACGTGGCTTCTTCGATGGCCGGGTACGACACAGACCCGTTGGTCGAGGATGGATAGAAGTGAAGCTGGTTCACGTCCATGAATTGAGTCTGACTCGGGTGGCAAGCGTAGTTGCACCAGACGTTCTGCAGGACTTGCTTGGACACTTCACACAGCCCGCCAATCATGCGGTACTGCGTCTGCATCGTGCGGTACTGGTCCTCCGTGCAGCACAAGTAGTCCTTCTTCTGACCTAAAATCTGCTCCTTGTAAAACAGCGGGCAATCCACCTGGAACGCGGCTTGGTTCGATGCATCCCATTCCGAGAACTTGTTTCTTAGTTTCATCTTCGCGTGCGCGTCCTAGCGACAACATTGTAGGCATGCGAGCAAAGATAATCCGTCATACCTCTCCACTGATTGGCACGTAAAACGCGGGCTGCGTCGACCCAGGGTTGACGACAACGGGGGTTACTCCCATCATGGAGCACATGCCCGCGCCGCGCTTGAACGTTCCAAGACCCAACGTCTCCGCGAGTGGGTTGCTCTGTGGCGACGTCAGACACTTTAGCCCGTTGGAAAACTTGCACTGCGACAGGCCAGTCAAACTGCTCGTCGGGACCTGACCGACCGCCAAGGTTGTCGCGGCGAGTGCCGCAGCGATGACGATCATTGCTGAATGAATGTTGTACATTTCCGGCTGGGGACAAAATTGAACTGTCCAATCAGATCTCAAAACGGCGACTCTGGAGTTATACCCTAAAAAGATTGGACGCACTAATTGTGAATTATGTTTGCGGTTCGCCCAGTCTCTCCACAAACTATAAACTTCCATCATTTTCCAATTTGCCACCAACACAACATATTAGTCTTAACTGTGCTCTCGAGCAGGGGTGGTTGTCAAGGCCATCAGCTACTCTATCCTACACCTATGTTCCACTGTGCTTGTACCATAGTCATGTTCTCAGCTTGCACGACACGAGGCACGAAAGACGCAACGGAAACGACGACTTCACACAGGCCGTGAGTCAGCCTGAAGAGTTGTGGGAAGACTTTTTCGAAATGAACATGAGACAGCAACTTTCCAGTGCGAGTGACGAAGGAGACCCGCCTGCGGTAGTATCCGAACGCGACGACGACTACGCTCGTGCTCCTCTGAGTCGAGTGCAGCGTCGAATCGTACAGTCGCATTCAACGTTCCTAAAACGCCAACAAGGGCCTTTTACGACGGAAACGCACATTGACCTATGGGGAGATACCATTGTAAATATTTATAGTAACTTTCCTAGCACAGAGTGTTCAAAGAGGAAGCTCACATTTTCGTCCACTATATTACGGAACTCCCCATTATCGACGAAGAGCAAGACCTGGTAAGTTCAATCTGGACAAAAAGGGCCAATTTTCTCTCTGCATGTTTGTACCAGCTTGCTTCAAGCAATGCATGAATACGTGCAAGCTTTTCATCGCCTTCGACGCGTGCCACATGTGGTGTTTCTTACTGCAAGTGTGAAAGACGGTGACCACAAAGACTTCTCATTGCAATCGCGATTGCTCCGCAAGAGACCGAGGAGCATTGGACATGGCGTTTGCACAACTTGAGTTTGTCTGTACTTGATTCAGAAGTTTTCGGCATTCATGTTGGATATCTTTAATGGTGCATACAAAGTCAAGAAGAATTCCACATGATTGTACTAAGATATTGCATATTTTGCATTGGTCACTCTACTGCAGTCAACGAGGAATTTTCGAATTCCTTGCATAGATATTGCATGTACCACGTAGCACTCAATATGGCTACGGCATGTGGAGGTCTGACAAAACGAGGAAGAAAATTCATTTTGAAAGTTGTATCATCAATATCATCATGACGGTTGCATTATCAAAAACTAAAGGCGAGTACGACTAAAATATGGACTACTTGCAAATAGTGCTCTCAATGGCGGCGAAGTACCGTCGCGACGTGCAACCTGGTATTCAGAACTGGGTACAGTTCTGAATACCAGGTTGCTCGGAGTCCGAACATCAAATACTGCTGAGTGCAACAACATGGATGAGTATATTGATGCGATCTTCCGATCCGGTAACCATGTACTTCATGTAGATGGGCAAACTGTTGCGGTTTTTCACGAAGACATGAGAAAATTTCGTGAGAAAGGTTCCAACTGCACCCGCATCTACAAATGCGGGCGCGGTTCCGTGCCTCGTTTTCGGTGACCCGAAAGGCATGCTCATGAGCACCAATTCTGTCTCGAGGTTTCGTTTTAGCAAATGTTGTCAAAGGGAATGAGTAGGGAATAGATCATGAGTGCTGGCTGTTTTCGATGCACACGGATGAAGTCACTGTGCGTGAAGCATTGGGCATGGACGGTACGCTCATTGAACACTTCGATGATACCAAGATTCTCAGCTGTGCCGAGTATGGAATCCGGACCGTTCCGGGACATTGGTTCATGCGACCAAGTCCGAAGTACATCGCAGCAGCCCAAGACGACATGCGTTTGGCCTGGACTGCCTGCATCTCGGCGTCGTTTTGGATTTCTTAGGTTGCATACCTCAGACTGTGGCGACGGGATAGGGGGTTTGGCTGCAGGCGGCGGCGAAAGTATACAAATAAACCTCCCACAGGCTGTATCGGGAAACGTGATTTCGTGGGTTATTTTGCCGCCAAATCAGTGTTCAATGTTTTTAAGAGACAAGATCTTTATTGTATTTTAGAGAAATTAACTTCAATTGACTCGCCTGAAATCGATCAAGCTCGTTTGTAGCACGGAATGAAGTTGGCACGGATCTCCGCCCATAGGTATACAGCTAAGGTAGGCATTAAAAAGTCCTACCGGTGGTGGCGCGGATACGAAGTAAGCATGCAAATATTCAACAATCAAAGTAACTCTTGCATATGTGACACAATTATTAGGAGATACAGACGCCGTCGGTTGGTTATTCGACATTCCGAATGGACGGAACGGTGGACTTAATACCACCGTTCCGTCTGCTAATCCTCGAAAATTGGCTACAATTAGGGCGATGCAACGCGCTTGGGTTACAGGGCCTTGTTGGATTCAGATTCTTTGCCTTGAAAAAGAAGTTGACATGATGAATGTTGAGACTGATCTTCTCATTGTAAGGCCTTCTACTTTGACTTCCTGTGTTCGAGCAGCGCGTTCGATTGCTGCTTGCATGGCTTGTACTTGCATGTTCTGTGTCTGAGCGACTGCTTCGATGATGCGTTGTTGGCGTTCAATTTGTTGTAGCAATGTTTGAAGTATGTGTTCCATGTTCGTCGTATTCTTTTCCTCTCTCTTTTGTTTTATTGTTCGTTTCTTTGTTCTTCTACTAATTTTCTACTCTTTCTTTACTTTCTTTTTCGCTCGCTCTCGTCTTCTCTATTCTTCTTTTTGCAATGACTTCGACATAGGTAGGCCTATGATCCAATCCGCTGAAATTGTGTGCCGACGTTCTTTAAGGGCTTGAATCGGAATCATTTTGCCTTTCGCTCGTAAACTGCTTGTTTTGTATCGGCTGTAAGTTTTACAGGTTGCCACGTACAACTTTACGTCTTCCATCATTGTATCCCAATAGTTCCATTGGGTGATGCATAGTACAGGGCGTTGTGTTCCGGGACAAGCTGCGATACTAGCATCATGTGCTTGGTAGATGACCTCTGCTCGAAGGTTGTCAACTTTAGGGACACAGAGCTTCCAAACTTGATCATTTGAACGGAGAAAGTAGAGTCCAAATTGACAATGAACGTGTCTTTGCTTGTCTGTTGTTTGAATTATTCTTCGTTCTTGTATGCTTTGACGTAGAGGGCCTTTGTTATTTCATCCATTTCGACAGTGGTGTACGAAACTTGTTGCGCGTGATTGATAACATGTCATTGGGGAATCAAATGCCTTTTTTCGTTATCACACTCCTCCCCTAAAAATGGGATCCAACTAGTTTCGACAGTTCACGGGACGACAAGGTTGAAAGGAATAGAGGCGGTTCAATATTTCCTCCAGGTGACATGAAGCTGGCAAAGGATACAACATGTATGCACGGAGATCGTCGGTGGCATCGTACAATCGTCGCGCGGAGGGCGGGATAGTGCACCAGCAACCACATTAGTCTTTCCGAGGCGATGGCGTAAGACAAAATCGAAGGCGCTGAATTAGTCGAACCAACGGGTTAACTTGGGCGTGAGCACAGGAGTGTGCATGAAGCATTTGCAGGCGGAATTGTCGGTGTAAATGTCGAAGTGAGATCCATGTAGGTACTGTCGCCATTTGCCCAAAGCTAGCTTGATCGCGTACAATTCCTTTTCATGAGCTGGCAATTTTTTCATGTGGGTCAAGGCGCTTTGACATAAATGCAAGGGGCGTTCGTCATTGGCATCATCAAGTTGGGATAAAACTGCGCTACTGAAGTTTACCGCAGTCGCCATCAGTCACCCAACGTGGCAAATATCGGTTCACATGGTTGAATCACGGTTGCATGCCTTCTATTGCTCGATAAAACGTTATGAAAATTGAATCGATGGACAGATGCGGATCACGCACCGGTGGCGACAGCTCCGGCCATAATTGTGCCAAGGTACGCAACGTTTCATTCGATCGAGTTGATGCCTGAGATGGCCATGACGTCGTGAGACTTGACGCCGACATGAATTAAACTCTTCATGAACTCGTGGACGCGGACATAGTATTGGTGCCACGTCAGCTGCCAATGGTCCCGACGCTTGGCATGGACTGCTTTCTGGTAGCCACAACGCTGGATTGTGCGCTGGAATGCATGGGATTGTTTGGTGGTTTCTGCGGGCGAGCTACTAGTAGCCTGTGGGAGGAGTGTGGTTTTCATCAGCTTCGCTTGGACGATCTGGTAGACTTTGCTTGCCTAATGTGCAACGCCGACAACGCTCAGCAACTTGCGACAACTAGAGTCCGGGCTTACGATAAACGGCACGTCGGCACACTTCTGGTCGTACTGAGCACATACATTACATCGTACGTCAGATAACTCAAGTAATCGTCCACGAGTTGACGTTGGAGGGTCCAAGATGGGCACTCGAAGTCAAGGATCCATTTGCAGCAAAAGGGGGACATGAGATCCGACGGTTCCGCGTCGCCATTTAGCGCGTCGCGAGGGACCGCCAAGTCTTCGCCATCTGCGCCTGTATGTCGAGATTCCGATGCGTTCATCTTTTATGCAAATTTTGTTTTGACGACAATACTTAACATCAAAAGCTCAACATGTGGTAAGTCTGTCATAATCGGCCATTTTCGCCTGAGTGAACCACACCCCGTCCGCTCTGTGCAGTTAACCAGGCTCAAGCGAGGGTAGCTGCTTTAAAATAGTTTTCTATAACAATCGTTTGCCAAACATTATACTTCGAAGTGTATACTTTGTTGGA